TTCTCTGTTCCCACATCAATCCTGCTCCCCAAACTCAATTTCAAAATTACCACCAAGTAAACCTTCAAAGCCAAGCATACTTTCTCCAAGCAGACTTCAAGCCTATCCACTTGTCCAGAGCCCGAATACTTGTACAATGTCAATATCCAAATCAGCATTGTGATATCCTATATTCTCATACAAACGACCAAGTTGCCAGTTACAGTATGATTGGATTGGCTGTTGTCATTAAACAAACTGTAACATGATTACTAAACTATATTTGAACCTCAATCTAGCTGTCCAAACTCAACTTGAAGTTAGTGCCCTTCAAAATATGAAACATTAGGAGCTGAGCATGCTTCCAAGTGTAAACATCAAAGACTAACAACCAAAGAGGGCCACAAATGTATGACACTTATTTGTCCTCCATGTCCAATTGAAGGTCAAGATATCCCAGAAATTTTCAATATGAAAACTCAAGACTCCTTATGAGAGTCAACCGCAAGATCTTTTAGTAATTATGACCTTGGTCTTGTTCTGATTGGAGTCCCCTTCTGTAGTTAGGGTCGGACTCCCATTTTTGTGGGGCTGTTTATTTGTGTGCCTTGTATATTCCTTCATTGAGAAATGAAAGTGTGCTTTGTTACCAAATATATATATATATACATGCATGCATACATATATGAAAATCCAAGGCAAAAGACCAAAACTAACCACTAGCGGTCTGCTCATCTGGGAATGGGTAAATGAAGGATAGCATAAACTATTAAATGGAACAGGGAAATATAAATCAGAGGTCATGATTCAACTCAGTGGAAACTTGTCACTAAATTTACTTGATAACTAGCCAAGTGATATCAAAGAATTTTCTCAACTAGTTAAATAAGAAGTTAATTGAACTGGACAAGTAAAAATTTTCCATGTCCAATACGATTATTTTACAACCAACCTGCAACCCATATTGTTCTGCATGATACTTGTTATCACCCTCAAGGCGTTCTACTTCTACATACTTGTCAAAAGAAGCATACACATCACGACAGCCCTTGACATCAAGCTGAAGATCTGAAATTAAAATATTAGAAAGGTATTGGCACTGTGCAGCCAATAAAAAGGAATCCATGCATAGTCATATTGATTCATAACCCAAAAGTATTTACCATAAAATGATTCCTTTCTTGTTGACTTATAGTCCACGTTTATACATTCAATGTAATTCATATGATGCCCTTCAAACAATTTCTGTATGGTTCCCTCCACGACAGTTCCCTGTATTCATTATATGAATTCTAACATCTCTTAGTCATAAAGAATTCCTCATGGCAGGTCAAATTTCATTTAATATAAGAAAAGCTTGAGAAGCATGGTCATAAAAATATACATCCGATACATCCTACAAAAAGAGAAGCATGGCCATATTATTTACCTTCATTTTATCTTCAAGTTTTTCAGATAGAACTCTGTTCAGTTCCTGGACATCATGCTGCATAAAAGAATCGTATGTGTCCCATCCAAAAGATTTGGTAAGTTCTTTTGTCGCTACACTGCTGTCGCTGTATTGGAGCTTATAAAATAAGCTCTGCAGAGCTAAAGGGATGCTTGCAGATGGCATATCATTTTCTGTAGTAGGCATATGGTACACAGCCTGAAATTATAGTTCAAACAGACTGATTTATTTCGGATGTCAAAGTAGAGTTCATATGTATTATGAGGGAAGGACGAATGCAAATGGTACATCAATGTCAATTTCATTAGCAAGGAAACAGTATAATCACTCACCTTCCGGAAATATGGAATGTGGTAAAGAGTTTGAAGAAGTGAATTCATATAACATGTTGCTCCCTGATTTTTAAGACCGACAAAACCTGTTTCTTTCTTCGAATCATATGTCCAATAATCGACCACTCTTCGAACAAGGACCTCAGCTTCAACTATTAAGGTATCATTAACAAGATATCCTCTGGTAGGGTCATACAGTTCACTGAGGGGCATGAATGACGTGAACCCCCAATCACTTTCCCTTGCATTGAACTGATGTTGTGTATCTGCAATTATTCAGAAGAATTGTGTCATAGAAAGATCGAGCACTGGGTTAGTACAGCATCAGATGATGAAGATGTCCCTCCCGGATAACAAACCAAAAATTAATAATAATAATTTAATATATATATATATATATATATATATACACCCAAAGTCCCTGACCATTACAGGGTGATTCCAACAGAAACCAAAAATTATAGTACTAAAAAAAAAAAAAACTCAAGATCCTGACAACAAGAGGAAGTCATTCCAGAAATAAATGCTGTCTAATTTTATACTTTCAATCACAAACATGACACACAATACATACAAATCCTTGCTTGTACAGCTTCAGAAAGATTACATTATCTTCACTTCTTGTTTAACAGAAATTGAAATGCATCCAGTTTCCCAAGAGTATAATGAAGATCAACATAATCATAGTGCTTGTACATAAGATTTGCCAATAAATTAATTCAAAATAATAAAGTACCAAGAATGAACCTTTTCTCACTGAATATTTGTTGTGAATTTGATTGACGACACCCAAGCTGAATTGAGCACATCTGCTCCACCCGTAAGGCAAACTTGCAGAATCAGCAACATCCAAATACATAGACAGATGATCTACATTGTTTCCTTTTGGGAAAATAAGAATGCGCCTAAAAGAAAGAAGTTGGAATTACTTGGTGCGGAATATGCCGACACACGCGCACATATATATTGATGTGACAGACTAGTATCAAAAAGGAAGTATACCATTTATATCCACCAACAATAAAGATTTCAGAATACAGCTTCTTTATGTTAAGCCTCGTGAAGTTGTCAATTCTCCATGTAAATCTTGACGATGGTGGATCCTCAACAGGTTGATTCTCTACGGTGTTTCCTGATTCGGATTGTGGAACAACTAATGGTTTGCAGTGGGGGAGGGAACAAAAAAATGGAGACTTATTTAAAATCTCGTTAGAAGACACTTTGACTGTGAACGCATTGTCCAAGCTTATTTTAAAAATTAAAAATAAAAATCGCACAACCACCTCCAGTATAACTCCGATAGAGAAACAACATACTAAGTTTTCAGAGCAGCTAAAATCCCAAAAGTAGCAGCTGATATGACATTGCATACCTTTATCTATCATATGTAGTAACTCATGAGAGGGAGAAAAAAAGAAAAATAAAAAGAAGACAGCAAGAGATATCCTGGTGAAAAAATAAAAAAATAAAACAAGTTCGACAGTAGCCAAATTGGTAACTTGTGCTGAAAAATTCCAGATTCTTTGAGTAATCCGTACAGCCACGAAATGATCTCAAGCACCAAGAGAATTCAATTAGATCAATAGACAAGGGAAAAAAACATTCGATTAGCTGGGGGGAACAATTGCACAGATCAAATGTGACGAAAGTAAACCTTCCATAGGTTGGTGATTATTCTCGGCCAAATCCGAGTGCGGTACAAGCATCTCCTCGTCCTCTTGTTGCTGTGAAGGGAAAAACAAAAGATGAAGCAGAAATTAAAGATGGCAATCGGATCCACCAAAGCAAATCTTGATTAGTTCAGATATCTCTGTAAAATCCAGACGCGCCAGTCGGCAACGACAATAACAAATTGCACCGGAGTGGAGGGAAACCCATAAATTAAGCGCGAAGTCGAAGATTACGAGCAAGAAGACTATATAAATGTGAAAAGCATGCAAGTCGTAGACAATGGAATTAAGATTAATACTTCAATTTACAACAGAAGAGGAAGAAGAATAAGAAGAAGAAGAAGAAGAGAATAAGCAGGCGATAGATTGACTGAGCTCGCAAGAAACCAAGGTGTTTACATCTGAATTATACGGAGAATAGATGGAGAAATGAGAGAGAAAGGAGGGAGGTATGGAGATAGAAAGTTTACATCGACGGGAGCGGGAGTCATCACAGTCATGGTCTCTGCAGCCTTGGTAGAGAGAGTTTGGGTGGGGAAAAAGAAAACCAAATTGAGTGCGAAGTGCTAAACGAGGAATGTCACTTCCTCCTTATATAATGGGCACTTTTGGGATTTCGTTCCTCTCAGTTCCACTCGACATTGCTGGCCATGCCAGATACCTCCACTGCTAACCAGTTTTGGGCCTATTGGGCCTGTTTTCGACATTAATAAGAGCGATGGGCTCGACCCTTTCCAGAAAAATAATATCTAGATTGTTCTCACGTGCAATACACGTGTCCCCCTTTAAATATGTATACCGGCGACAAAAATAATTTAGAATCCTCTGCCATTTTTTTTTGCCCGTTGCTCTTTTATTTTAGAGGCTACAAAAGAAAATTGTACAATTCATGAATTTATGGTCGTTGTGAGACAATAATTAATAAAAATGCAAACAAATTCTTATATGTGATATTTTTTCATTTTTAAGGAATGGTAATACAACTTAGTGTTCCGTAGAAGATAAAGTAAGAATGTCATTTGTCCAAAGAAAACCAAACATTAAGCTACTGCTTTATTTTGGCATTTATAATTGGACATGCATAGTTTTAAATTTTAAAATAACAAAAATGTGTAAACTTCTTAAATTATATTTCAAACTTTCTCCAACCTCGTCTATGCTACAAATTAATAAAGTACAGTAATATTCAACTTTTGAAATAAACGATACTATTTTTTAAACAAAATGTCAAATATATTTTATAATTTAGGCTAATAAAAACAGCTCACCTAACTTGGGCTCATTTTGGAAATTGAAACAATTTTTTTGCCTCTTTTTGTTTTTTGGTTTAAAAATCTCTACTTTTTTGTTTTGTTTTTTTTTTTTTACATGCGATTTTAATTCTCATCTATAATTACAACACCAGCGAGTTGTATTATCCGTGCATTGCATGTCTCAGTCAATATATCCTGGGAACACTGATGATTCAAATTAAATAAAAACATATTAATTTTTTTTTCACCCATATCTCTCCTAACCTCACGTATATCAACTCCAAGAGAAGACTACTTATATAATTAGGGATATTTGAGTAAATTCTTCATCGATAAAGTGATACCGAAGCAATAAAATTCAATGTCTAGTTCAACCATGTGTGAGGGTTTTTTTGAATTAATTGACGGTGAGATTTCTAACATTTGATCTTTTGGATTAGATCATAACGCCTTAATTATTGAACTATGTTTCGATCAACACGATGGGCTCATTGATCCAGCTCTAATGGTCTAAAATACCTTCCATCTATGAGGTATGTCCCGACTTTAAGCCGCACGCCCCACACGTCCTTCGGTTTTCTTGACACGATTCTGTTCAATTACACACGCAGCAGGCAGGCATTCGTTACAAGCGTTGCACATAAGGTGTTCGAAGAAATGCCAAAGACAGAGGACGAAGATCGATCGATCGCTCACCTGCCAACGTCGCCGGGGTTGATTATGCCGGAATTGACCCTGAGGCATGGAACCGAGGCTGCGGTCTTTATCATTTTGGGAGCCTCGACTACGATAACGGGGGAGCCGATCTCGAGTTTCCGACTCTTTGCCGGCGGCGTGGGGTCTGCTGCCGATGCACTTGATTCGCACTTCACGAAGCTTCGCGGTTGAGACCGAGTGCTTAAGCTGTTGGAGATGTTGAAGGAAGAGATGGAATTGACGATGCCGATGCCGATGCTTGGGCGTGGAATTGCTGTAGCAGAAGAAAGAGAAGTGGCCATTGGAACCGTATCTTATCACCAACGTTTCAATTCGAGGATATGTTTGGGAATGGATATTGAGATTAAAGCTTTTGTTTTGTTTTTTTTTTTTTTTTTAAGCTCGAGGATATTTTTTAAGTTTTTAAAAATATCAAGGTGTTAATAAAACTTTTGAAACAAATATTTAATTTCAATTGTTTCCATTCAAATCAATTTAAGGGTATTTTATAATTCTTTAACTTTTTTTTTTTAATTTAATACAGTATTCTCCAAGTTCAAATTTGTTTTTATAAAGTAACATTCATTTTTTTTTCTATTTTTTTAGCTTCAAATTTTAACATATTGATAGATTTTAAACTCAAGGTTTGAATGCTGTAATGCATGTCAATTATAATTACGTTTACTTTGCATCTTTAATCTCTAACTTCGCGTGCAGTGTTGCATATTAAATATAATAGTGTTTGTACTAACTTTAAACTCATTAATATATTTTGACATTGACTCATGTCAATTTTACCGTCATTTTAACATTTTATCAACTTGCACTACAAACTTTAACAAGAATCTAAATCTTAAACTTGCCTTATTATTTGTGATATTTGACATTATTTTCTACAAAGTTATTAAAAAAAAAAAATATACTCATTTGTCATTGGTACCAAAATATCAATATTTAAAAAAAATTAGAGAAAAACTTATTTTAAAGTTGGTAAGGGTTTATAAAGTTATTCCATGGTTAGTTTATACCTTAATTAAACACAAATTTGTGCATAACTTGATATTATTTAAATTAGTGAATTTATCAAAGATAATTAGCATTTAATCCAGTTCCAAATTCAACCAGATAAAATTAAAAATTTAGGATGAAAATTGGAATAAAGTCAAAGGGATGAAGGAAAGTCGAATTTTATCGCATAATCACTATTATTTTATATTAATAGATAGCTTATGGATATATTTTTTAATTTTTTTTTTTTTTTTTTTTTTTTTTTTTTTTTTTTTTTTTTTTTTTTTTTTTTTTTTTTTTTTTTTTTTTTTTTTTTTTTTTTTTTTTTTTTTTTTTTTTTTAAGATGAGCTGAATAGAAATACATAAAAGCGAATTAAACTATTTTTCAAATAAAAAGAACATTAAATAGTAATTATCCAAAACCACTTGTTTTTCTTACCAAAATTCGGTCAATGCTTCGGTTCCCATATGAGAAGAAACGCGGTGTAAATTACAATTTACAACGAATTCCGGCAGCTCTCAATTTGCCGCCTTTTGCTCTTCGCGCCTTCCCCCGCCCCAATTGAATCTACTTTCTCAACGTCCACGCGATCGTCAGCTCGTTTCTCATACGCCCTAATTTGCATAATCACAAGGTAACGTCATAATTTAATTCAGTCCACTATCTCACTGAGCTCCGACCCAATTCGCTATTGCAATTTATGTATAAGCTCAGCTAAATCTGCTCCATTTCACTCAGTTGTAGTATATGAGCTCTTATTGCTGCCTCAAACTGGTAGCTCGGAGCACTTCTGTTTTCAAGCTGTTCGGAAGCTTGACGTTTCCGGGTGCAAGTGAATTCGTGTGGGAATTCAAGCCGATTTACGACTGAACCCTACAATATAGATTTGACTGGTTTGTCTTTTAACTCAATGGGTTTTGTTTTGGGGCTGGTTTATTCTGCGCGTGACTACTTATGCTGCATTGATGTAGCTTGTTTTTGCTGGGTTTATTCTCTATTGGTCGACGAAGTATTAGCTTCAAGCTCGTCCTACAGATGTCTTTTGTGTAATCAGTATGAAAGTTACTGACAATTTTTTTTTCTTTTTTTTTGTTCGTCTGTCTCATAGAAATTGAGTACCCTACGATTGCAAGATGCACATAAAGCAGGTATCAGTCGATCTATCGTTCACTATTAATATTTTGGTCTGAGTACATGGAAATAATCATTAAGTTCTCTTTTAGGTAATTATTGAAGGGTTTAAGAGCTACAGAGAACAAGTTGCCACCGAACCTTTCAGTTCAAAAATAAACTGTGTTGGTAAGATCACAATAATCTTGGGTGTTTGCTTACTCTTTATTTAAAGTTGTCTCACTTTTTTGTTTATTGTGAATGAACTGGTTCCGGATCCTTTTCAGCATGGTCTCAAATGTTTGTTTTCTTGCTCCTTTTCTAGTGGCATTTCCGTCTAAATGAGTGACAGCTGATGTGGCCGACGTATATATTTTTTTCCTTCTTGATTTTATAAATGTAGATTTTACCATGATATTGTAGATTTTCTGTTCATCATTCAGTCATGTGTTATTGACATATTATTAGGTTAATCTTAGTTTACATTCTTAAGAAAATTCTCATTTTCAAGGAAATTAACGTTTCCTTCAAATCTGTTACAGTATTAGTAATTTTTATTTTCACTGATTTTGGAGCTCCTATTTGACGGTACTTTGTAAGTTGTCATTTATGGACATTTTATCTTCCTGTTCAACATATTATGCAGTCGGTGCAAATGGATCTGGCAAAACCAACTTTTTCCATGGTAAGAGAATATCACTATTTTTGCTCTTATTTACCTTTCAGTTTCTGGTAGTTTTTACGCTAAGATATTGGTGGTTGTTTACCTAATTATTTGTTCTGGACGTCAAATAGCTATACGGTTTGTGTTGAGTGACCTCTTCCAAAATTTGCGGAGCGAAGAGAGGCATGCTTTGCTCCACGTATGTGTTTACAAATTTTAAATCTAATAAATATTTTGTTTTCAAGCATAGGTTTCCTTCATTCTCTAATTTACATATTTTGTGATAAATTTCATACAGGAAGGTGCAGGGCACCAAGTTTTAACTGCTTTTGTGGAAATTGTGTTTGATAATACTGATAACCGTATACCAGTAAGTTCTTTCTGCCTGCTATCCACTCTTGTACAAATGGGGTTTCTTTGTTTCTTATGTGTGGAATGATTGTATTATTGATACATATTGCTTGTGACAAACGAACATTGCTGTTTATTTCGATTTCCTGTTTATTCTTGTTTGCTGCTAGTTAACAAATTAAATACTCTTTAGTTTGTAAATGTTTTCTATTTTCAAGTTTCCCTGAGCTTATCTCCCTTTTCAACTTTCTTTATCTTTATTTTCCCCATCTAGTATTTTCTTGCCCTCATTTTGGATAATTATATATTCATTTTCCAGCACGTCTCATTCTCCGTTGTTTAATGGTTTTGCAAATTAAACATTTGCAATATCCATCCAATTGTTAACTGATATGCCATACATTTGTTTTTTTAAAGGTAGACAAGGAAGAGGTGTGCTTGCGTCGAACGATTGGGCTGAAAAAGGATGAGTATTTCTTAGACGGGAAGCATATTACGTTAGAAACTTTTTCCCTCCCTTACTTCCCCTCCCCTGTGATGTATGAAGATTCATCTCAGCTTTATGATTTGAGAAATAATGGTTTTTAGGAAAACAGAAGTTATGAATTTATTGGAAAGTGCTGGATTTTCTCGCTCGAATCCTTACTATGTCGTGCAGCAAGGAAAGGTAGGAGTATATTTAAACTTCATTATCTGTTATATAAATACTCGAGTTTTTATGTTGATCTAATTCCTTTAGAGTCAACTTCCATTCATTCTCTTTCTAATTTGTACACAGATAGCATCATTGACATTGATGAAGGACTCTGAGCGATTGGATTTACTAAAGGAAATTGGTGGTACTCGAGTTTATGAGGAGAGAAGACGGGAGAGTTTGAAAATAATGCATGAAACTAGTACGTCTTGACCATGTTATTATAACCTGTGTGAGATTTGTTACTTTTAATTGTGTTTGATTATGTTTTTTCTTATCAGGCAATAAAAGAAAGCAGATAATTCAAGTTGTTCAGTATCTTGATGAGAGATTGAAAGAACTTGATGAAGAAAAAGAAGAACTTAGAAAATATCAACAGCTGGATAAGCAGCGAAAATCCCTAGAGTATACTATTTATGACAAAGAACTTCATGATGCTCGTCAGAAACTTCTGGAGGTTAGCTGTTATGGAACTGATCATTGAGTTTTCCTCATCCCACAACTAACTTTGGATCTTCAGATTTTGATCTTGTCCCAACTATATGGTTCGACTTTTCTTTTCCACTTGAAAAAGTGTGGACAAATTGAGACCATTTGAGATAAATTTTTTCCATCCAACCTATAACTAGGATGAACGTTCTGAAGGTCTCTAGTAGCCGAAGCTTTATTGGTCTCTTCCATAATAACTTTTTAGTGACTTAGGTGAGGTCCTCACAGTAATGAATACCCACTTATGATAAAAAATCCACTAACAGATCCAGCTCCCGAACAAAAAAACCCACGAGCGAACACAATCAGAAATACCACACACGAATAGATGCTGCTCATGAATGAAAACATCCACACACGATGGATTCTGAAACAGATACCCACAGACAAAACTAAATTTCAGATAAAGAAACCCACGCTTGAAACTCTAGTAAGTTCAATGGAGCAAATTATCAATTGGCTATGAAGGCTGGTCGAAAGAGTTTATTAGCAATGAGGGCCCATAGAAAGGATTAAATAACAAATATACAAAAATAGATGTAAATTGTAATTTGACAACGATTTCTCTTGTTAGTCTGTATTATATATTTCATTCATGGGGCAACTTGTGAGAAATAATTGATCTGACTCTTACTCAATTGATGGGCATTTAGAATGTGCGAAAATCAAGTGGATGGTGTGACTAGCTACCCTGAAGGCATTTCTTAAATTTTTCAAAAGAAATACTGCATAGTAAATAGGGGTCATCTATGTTGTCAATAAGATTTTTTTTATCTTCAAAGAAACAGAACTAATGCCTTCTGACTCATTATTGCCATCTTTTTCCTTTTTATGAATTTCGTTCTTTCTTTCTTTTGGGATGTTAGAGTGGTTTAGAATCCCTTGGTTTTTCATGCCTTGAAAATGTGGTACAATATGCTAATCTGATTTACCTTTGTTATGTGCATATGCACATAATGCATGCTAAAACTTCAAATTTAACTAAACTCAGGTAGATGAAGCTCGAGCCAAGGTTTCTGAAAC